TAACAACAACAAAAAAACTCGCTCCTTTTTCAAACCGGGAGGTAGATCTATATACGCAGAGTCCTGTCTTACTTTGAGCTTCCGACAGGGGTTTCCAGGGTCATTCAGCTGATCTTTTCTTGTGGCCACTGACCCTTCCGACTTGCGGCCGTAGCACGGATCTGAAGGAGGGGACAACCAATGAATGTGTCACACAGTATCATTATAATGCAAAAAAATACGAAAAGGAGGAAATGGGAAATGGCTGCTTTACAAATGATTGTCTTATACAAGTGGCCGTTAGAGCAGGTTCGACTGTATATGATATAGAGTGCACTAGCGGGGCCAGTTTTCCACCCCGATGTTAGTAACCCCTGCTCATCATGGGGAGGTAGGACTCGGACATTTTATGTTTGATATCAATGACAGAAATGAGATTTTAAAAAACAAAAAAACAAAACAACAAAACAACAACCAAAAAACAAAAACAAGTGAGGGCTCACATAAAACGTATCACTTAAAAGGAACAGTTTAAAACTCATTCTCTTGACAAACCGCTCTTTGGTTATTTCCTTCCTTCGCGAATTCTACCTTCACACTGTTCCAGAGTAGATCTAGACTACATGCATCACTCACACAATGTCAGGCCCATGCACACCGAGCCAAGTATTCCATTGCGCTACTACTTCCTTACTTTTAAGTTGCTGCGCAATACCAGTTGTGAGTTTTTAAATTAATTAATCATGCATTTTTAATTAACAGCATTTATGACTACTGCGTGACCCATCCACCATCCACCCACCTGTGCAATCTTTGATCTCACACTCACAGCAACTTTGGGTGCTGCCTCGGAGAGACGGCCAACTGTCTTTCTCATCTCGATGCTCCCTGCGTGACAAGTGCACTAAGGATCATGTACAAAAACAATGTGGCAGCGCCAAAAGTGGTTGGCGGGTACTCTTGTGTGGTTTGCTTCTTCTTTCCTGTCAAAAATCTATCGTCTTTATCTACCCTTCTTTTTTGTGTGTTTGTTACTCTCTCGTAACACCTCTAATCTTCGTCACTTATATGACCTTATTGTGTTGCAAGTGCAGTAAAACACTTACTTAAACAAAATACTAAAACAAAAGCCCAAAGTCGCTGTGAGATCAAAGATTGCACAGACGGGTCGGTGGGTTACGCAGTAGTCATAAATGTTGTTAATTAAAAACGTTTGATTAAATGATTAATTAAAAACTCACGGCAAGTATTGCACAACAACTTGGAAGTTATTCTGACAAGTGAAGCGTGTGCAATGTCCGCCCACCAGAGTCATAGGATTCTTAGTTGCACACTGTTCACAGGCTTTGCGAAACCGTGGGTGGTTGGTGGCTGGTCACTCGGTCACTCTGTTGTGGTTTGCTCCATCTGTTATCTCTCTCTCTCTCTCTCTCTCTCTCTCTCTC